TAAGCGAGAATATATTTAAATACTGCCAAATTATTTCGTTACTATTACTGTTATGATCTAAGAACCAAAGTTTTGATCTAGATATTGGAAATGTTGATCTGGATTTAACAATAAAAATTATTTTAAAAGATGAGAAGAAGAAATTAATAAGTGTCAAATTTTCGAGCTACATTTAAAAGCTTTAAAAATTAAATTACAAAATTCTATAAATATTAAAGTATGTTTAGCAAATATGTGTTCTATAATAATAAAATATCAGTATTCTTACTGTAATAATTTGAATAAACTTTATGCAGAAAAAATTAATCCAGTATATATATGGCTAGCTAAACATTGATAAACTTATTTTTGGTATAGGACACATTCCCAGACAAACATTTTGGGTCAAAGGGTAAGTAAAAGTTGACAAATGTTATTTGTTCTTCTTTAAAGCAATAATAGTGGTGAACACAGGTGAGAAGAATTTGTTTTATTTTAAGATAGTAACTCTTCCTTCTACTCACTACTCATACAAATTAAACAGACTGCATAGCGTCGGAACGGATTACCGAAACCTCTTGTGAACTTTGGCAAGGTCAATCAATTCCTTTATGCAAATTTAGTATGCATATGCAAATTACATTTATACGGAAAGTGGAGCTATTGAAAAGTAATAAAGGGTACTTTTACACAACTATAATAATAAATTAGTATAAGCAAATACACACTTTCAAATCTTTATTGAACAGATTATTTAACTTTGACATTCATATATAGTCATGCATATGCATATTTATTACATAAATTTGAAATTCAAATTCAAATTATGCAAATTAAGACTGATTCTATTATAAAGATTACTTGTAATAGTAAATTGATTAAAAAATTTTGATCTCATAGTAAATATATGATTAAAAAATATGAATAAGAAAATTTAATACTTAAATAAACAACTAAAGTTGGGTTTTTTTTTTTTCAAGAGTTAATTTCAAATAGACTTCAATGTCAATTATTTGAAATTTTGCTTAGTTCAAAAACTAGATTATATTTTTGAGTAATTTTTAAATACAAAAATTACGGTATTAGTGCTAATGAACAAAAATTTTACGGTTGATTACCAAAAAGTATGTGCTTAATTAACACTTTCAACTAAGTAAATATTCAAGAAACTGCTTGATCATTTCATGATCAAACATGTAATTACTAACACTGATCCAGCTGCCATCCATTACCTATCCTTGTCTTATGCTAATTTATGTTTAAAAAAATTAAAGCACTAATAAGGGGAATTCTCAACTTCTAAAATTGATACTTTGATTTAAATTTGTTTGCGATAAATAAATTCAAAATTCTGTTTCAAAAAGTTTATGAAAAATGTACTTTCCAACAAAAATGTAAGTCTCACTTACTTTGAAAAACTAGAGTCATGCTTACTTGACCTGACTTAACCTGACTTGATCTGACTTAACCTGGTAGTCTTCCAGATTTGCATTTTAAGTACTTTTTTTTGATACTTTTTAATGGATTTTGCACCAAATTTTTCTGTAACCTAAATTTGCATAAATAAATATATGATTTTTCCTAATTTTTTCATTTTATATCGACTAAAATTTGCATTTGCTTGTAAATTGAAATCGAAACAGTAACAAAATTTGTGGAAAGACTTTAAATGACATCAAATCTTTCTGTAACCTAAATTTGCATATTGTATTTCAACCAAATAATATACTTACTCATCTTTTTACTAAAAAGAGTGTATTAAAAAGGTAAGGCAATGTTCCGTAACCATAAATCCCTCCCAGCTGTCTAAATCTACCATTGCATAGATTATCGTATTTTGCATATTCGTTTTTTACTACACAAATATCATCAAAAAAGTAATAGAAAAATTGAAAAAGGGAATTGTAATCTAATCTATATTCATATTTCTGTATTAAAAAACTTAAATATAAAGAATTTTACGCAAAAAATATGAAATATTTTTAGAATAATTTCATTCAAAAAAAGTACTTTTTATTTTGAGTAAAAATTTTATCAAAATTTAATCATTTATTTAAAATTGTCTAGCTTGATTCGTATTCTTAATTTTCAGTTCACAAAGTTTAACTAAATAAAATTCAAATAAATTTAAAAACAGTATTTCAGCAACAAAATTTTAATATTTTTTTCCAACAATCTACTAAATGTAAAGATTTTTGTAACCTAATTCATTCTTCCAAACTTAACTTAAACCTTTACTAATCTATAAAACATTTTCTCGGCCTCATTTGCAACCTAAAAATTACTATTCAAATTTCTGGAAAAGTTATCAAGCTTCATCTCTTATAGAAATATTTCCAAGAAATTTACAAAAAAAAAAATGTAAAAGTATTTGAACTACTTCCTGGGCTTAAACAATATTTAGACCGCCACTTTAGCACTTTTAGCGATCTAAAATGACAATTATAATGTATTTTTGGTGGGAAATTCTGATTTCAAACCCGTAATACTGAAATAAGCAATCAATAATCCTAGAACAAATATCTCATTCCCAGTAAAAAGGCGCTCCAATCTTATTATGAAAAATACTCAGAAAATTTGGTATCTATGGATTAAAATTTAAAACTGTACTTGTTAAATGTATTTGTATAAATAAATTCAGAACATATATCAAATGAACTTCAATCTTTTAATAAACATTCATAAATAACTGTAATTGTACAAATATGGTCAAAATGTTACCTAGGATGTCAATTAAAATTTGCTTACCAATACAGCATAAATCAATTTTAACTGTAAAAATTTTTGTTCAAAAAGTTACAAAAAAAACTGTAAAGAAATTGCTAAAGAAAAGATCCACTTTCCGATATTTATCTTTTTCGTAATTTCTTAGCTAATCCATCTGCATAGCTTTCATCTAAAATTCCGATATTTACTTAATAAATTAAGCACCATCTTGTTTAATACCATATTCAACGCTGAAGATTCTCCTCACCAAATCATCCATATTGTACGTCTTAATTAGTATAAGATCATATTTCTAACTGATGATTATAAAATAACTGCACTGTTTTTTTCCAAAATTTTAATTCAGCCATAAATTTCCAGGTCACTGCTTATAATTTTTCAATATCTGCCGCTTAATTCCCAACAATAATAACATAAAGAAGAATTTTATCTTTTCCAGCACTACTGATTATTAAGAATTATGCTGGACCTTGAACTAATCTAAATTTTACAATTCATGATAAAACCAAGAAACTAATCATAATTTCTCAAAACTGTGACTATAAATTACCCAAAATAGACCAAGCAGATTATGTAAATAAAACAATGGATAAGCCTGAAGTACGTAATAATTTTTGCTTTATTATTATCCATGATTTTTTCACAATAGATCAATCCTACAATCGAAATTCGCTACTCATTATCACAATACGCGGATAAAAATGATGAGCAAATATCCCTCGAGCAATAACTATTCTATATGAATGCATTCAAATTTGCACCATTTGCAGATCAATTAAATCCTGAAATCCTTGTTTCGGCTTTCCTCTATCACTTGCAGTTTTTTGTAGTTGTTCAATCATGCAAATATATCCATTCAATCTTCTAAACGTTAGTCAGAATACTGTACAGAATATGAACTTTATATAATTATTTCAAAAATGATTGATTTTGATTAATCATTCAGCAGCCTTAAAAAGAACCATAAGCTTGAAAGGTGCTAAAACTGAGATAGAAAGAAGGAACAGAAACTCATCCCTCACAATCACAGGGATGAATCGAAGCCAAAAATGTAGCAATTAAAATATTTATTCCGAAAAAAAAAAGAAGTCATACCATATATTTTCATAGATATCGAATATTTTCATAAAACACTGTAAAACAACTTCGTAAAACATATATATAATTCAGCAGTAAATATAAAACATTAAGATCCTAGAGAATTCGAATATTCATTTGAAACAAAGAATACTGTAATTTGTAAATCAAAAAAAAAGAAATTTTAATCTTTAAAACTATTTCCATGACAGTACGGGCAGTATCCAATTTTTTTAAATATGCATGATAATATCAAAATCCTTACACATGACCTCTGAAATATCAAACAAAACATTTCAATATATGAGAGATATGCCATCGATGATATAAATAAAGTCCTTTAAACATCAAGAGTAACCTCATGTAAATTTTTGATTCCAGACAACAAGACCACTTTCGCTGTTAAAAATTAACAATCACTGGCGAAAATTATCAAAAATACCGGGAACACCAAAAAAAAAAATTCTAAACAAATCAAAAGCATTTTATAACGTTTCCTTCGCATTCATTATATTTGGTATGCTACACAATCTAAGAGACAGCTCCTGAAATGTGTTATTACAATTAATTAAAGATTTCAGACAAAAGTATTAAATGCGATAAGTAAAAAGAAAAATTTCCACACACATTCATGTACTCTAGTGTAATTCAAAAAACATACTGATTTATGTAGGACTTAGACGTTGCGGTGGTGCAGAAACACGTTTGGTATTTCTTACTGGTAGAACTTTTCCCTGAAATCCTAACAGTGATGTTTTTTAATACCACTGATAAAAAATACACTATCCTTGCAAAAGTGCAATGAAAATGCCCAAAGAACTGAGCGTTCAAAATGATGATACAAGAAAAACATATGCATTACTGACTAACAATATTAAATTTAGATTCAGACATCTTTAACCGACATTGATGAATGAATTACCTTAAATTAACACCATCTGACAACTTTCCGTATGTAGAATCTATAAAAGATAGAAAAATAAATAAATAAATCGGACTTGCACGGGATTCTCTCTGTCGTTTGAAACTACAGATGTTTTCGATTGTGATAAAGACTTTGAACTTCGATTCATATAATTTGACTGGTTTGCAACCTGGAATAGCATTTTTCATAAACTTTTACTTGACCTTGCATGGATCCGATTTCAAATTATACAGCGATTATCCAAAAATATGTTAATGCAAATGTGTACTAACAAGCAACTCTCTCACACTTTTAAATTTTATATCAAAAAATTATATCAAGAAAAACGGTTTTCAACCTCAGTGGTATCAACTGTCGAATTATGATCGCTTGAAGTAACATCAATGCATTCATCATCTACATCCATTCCTTCTAAGTCATCTTGAGAATTGGAAATTAACAAATCACCTATAAATTACAAGTGATACCCACATAATATTACTGTTATGAAGACTTTGAAAAAATATATATGCCAACAGCAATATTTTTGATCATAATTGAGCAGATATATCGTGTTGATGAACTAAGTGAACTACTTTGGGAGAACTGAAAAACTATTTCAATTAAAAACAAATTATGCTGTAAAAGTGAATACTGAAACAATTAAGAACAATTGCTTTCTAATATCTTTATATATTAAAGAATTAGAATTGTATCATCTTTCATATATTATATTGGAAAAACATTTTATATCTTTTCTTAACTTTTTCTGATTTTTATTAACTGACCAGATGAAACTGAACAAACAAGTAATTTGGCATCAAGCATAGGTATCAATAATCAACAAACAGAAAATATTAGAAATGATAGTCACAAACCTTTTTGCTGATACAGCTCCGTTGGTTGATAATTATAACAATCAGCAGGAACTTTCTAAACACAACTACTATTCAAATACAAGTAGAAAAAATCGATAAAAGTAAATCATTTCGATTGCAGAATGAAAATTTATTAGCAAATGAAACTATGTAAGAAATTTGCTCCGTCATTTCGAAATAGATAAAAATTAAGTGAATGACGTGAATATGAGCTAAACATGGTAAAATCAATAACTAATATAACAAGATCGAAAAACCTGTGAACGGCTTCTTTTAGGTTGATGAACTCCAATATCATAATCAAAATGTACATTATTGTGCTGATCTTCTGGTCCAACGGAAACTGGAGTGGATGAACTTGGAAACAGCTCGATGTAACGGTCTCCTGCAGTGATCAAAAGAGAAAAATTAACAATTACAAAAAAGTTGTAAAAAAGCATGACAGTATTTAAAGATATACCGTAAAAAACCCAACGAGAATTAGAATGATCTACTTCAGATTTTCCTCGTCTCGAAACTGTAAGCAACCTGAAGATTAGACTTTAAATAAATCTCATTAGCAATCTCACAACAATCAAAAACATTTCAAGACTGATTTAAAAAGACCACTTTACATGTTCAGTACGTAGTACTAAGAACTATAAGCACTTTATATATAGCTACCAACAGAAATTTTACTAGTTGCAGAATGGAAATTTAAAAAGCATACCTTCGTTCTCCGCCAGCAGCTAATTTGAGTACCGAATCTCCTACAGTCTGAAATAATAACTAATCAATACAGAAAAGACAAAATCGGAATTTTTAGGGATCAAGAGTTGACCAGAAGACAATTTACAAGACTAGCCTTTAAACGCGAGGACGATGGAGCTGGTAGTTTGCGAGTTCGCATTCTCGCTTGTGAATGATATGGACAATTCATTTTTAGCCGTTTACAACAAGAATTTGACAATTTATAAGGACAACAGCGATTATAAATCAATTCACAAAAATCATAGCCACATTTACATTGAAATTCCAATTCTCGTCGTCTTACTGTGAAAAAAAATTCTGATAAATCTTTTGTTTTCAAAAAATAAAATGTAGAAATTCAATATTTCAAACAATATTTATTCATGAAACTGCTCAGGGATATGCATAAAATTGAAAACATACCGACATTTCTTTGTTTCGCAAGATCCAAAGTAGAGGGTGCAATATCGTATGGTGATACCCAAGCACATGGGGAGCCTACAAAATTGTAAATAATCACAAGATGAATAGATAGTATGAAATGACCAAATATAGTAATTTATACTACAATGACACACAATGAATTGTGAATTTATGCATCAATTGAATTCAATAGCAGAACACGACACATAATTATTTGCCATTATATCTAGTAGTGAAATACGGTAACTGAAATAGCGAACCTTCATCTGGCCACTGATCTGGAGGAAGATGATCTACATCAATGATATCGTCCCAATAACATACTTTATACATGAAATCTGGTCTTTGATAATCTATTTCTATGATGGTTGCTCGATAATAACGCATATCATTTATACGTTTCTTTGAACGGATTGAAATTTCTTGGTGATCAAGGCTTCGAAGCTATAATTTAAAAAAAACCATAGGTAACACTGATTTTAAAAGTGAATTAAAATCTCCAGTATCTAAAAAAGGTTCATGGTAAACACTAGAAAAAAAATAAAAAAAATCAAGTCTGTTGGCAATAAATCAAAGACTTACATATACACAATCACCAACATCATACAGGTAACCAGTACCAGGATCGATGACCTGACCCTCATCATTGAATTTTGCAGGGTAACGACCAAGAATGCACGATATTTTAGCGCGATTGTTAGACATCTCACTCAAGTAAACAGTTGCTAATCGTTCTTCAACTTCAGGTCGCCGCGGTAAAGGCATTGAACGTATCATACAAACTTCCTACATGATAAAACTATTTCACACATGTAGACTAATGGAACATATTAAAAGGCATATTTTTCATTGCACTCCAACAAAATTTTGTATCACAATTAAAATAAACAATCACTTTTCACACAACTAACTTGAACGGAAAACAGTGAAACTGCAAAAAAATGTAAATAAGAGAAAAACATAATACATAAAGAGAAAAAGGAAAATGTTTGATCTTACTGATGCGCCAGTACCAGCACTATTAATGTTTTCTGCTCGATTCCCTTGTCTGTGCACTAAAATTCTGAATGATATTTACATAACTACTGATAGAAAATCATTCATAGAAAAATAATAATTACGCCGATTACAAATCACTAATTTTATGATGCGGCACAAGTCAAATTACCTGCCAAAGAAAACAAAAACTTAAGCTTTAAATCTTGCTCTACAGCTTAATGTAATATTCCATTTAAATCAAAATCTCATTTTAACGACTTCAAAACATACTTTTCCTATATTTTTGATGATTATAGACTCCTAAAAAATTATGCTGAATCTCACTAAAAATACAAAACAGAAATGAATAAATGGATATTTATCGTCATTTTACAAACCTGCTGAATCAATTTTCCTTGTATGACGTGCATTACTGCATATCCATGGAGGAATGGTATGATTTCGCCAAGGCCTTCGGCCAAACATTATCTGAATCAAGTAGAAGTAACTGTTTGAAAAATATTCTTATGATTATTCATCTACTTTCGACTACCTTCTAAAAAAGTTAAAAAATAAAATATTACTTCAAATGGTGAAATTCGAAGATCACCAAATGATTTTACAGGAGTCTGGTTGTAATCAATTACAGCAAATGGAAGTGCTTCTACCCAACGTTCACGACCACCAAGTTCTTCTGCTGCACGTTTATACATATTAGAACAAAGACTAATATGGTTCATGACCTAGTAATGATTCAAAGTATGATTAAAAATTGATAAAATATCCAGTGAGAAATTTAAGGATGAATAGATAATGATGCCATTGAATTTTGAAAAACTACGTACTTTAAGATAAAACATTACGTGCCACCCTTCAAATTTAAAGAAAAACAACAATGTAATACATATGAAGTGCTCAGATATATAAAGTAGGTAAAAAATGAAACAATAAGTGTATAAAAATTATTAGGAGAGAATGAAAAAGTAAAAAAAACCAAACAATGTTATGATTTATATGACTAAAAAGTATTGACATCTGCCTGGACATCAAATCAGTCTCCCTGCAGCAAAGTAAAATTAATTTTTTTTTGTGCTAACAAAAATGAAATAGCAGTTTTGTGATAAGTGGTTCGAAAATTTTCTATAAAGGGTTTTGATATTTCATGAATTATGAATACTTACACCGATTCCAATATTTTTGATTTCAATTTTGAATAATTTTTCGATATCTGCCATAACATGTTTAATTACTTCATTATTCGTAAAAGAACGATAAGCTTCTGTAAATAAATAAATCAAATACAATGGCGGATTTTAAGTGACTACTATGACGGACGATTGCATAGGATGAAATGTAAGAAAGAAAATGACTGTTTACGCAGATTTTACAAAAACTTACCCGGTGGAGCAAAGGCTCCGAAAATATCCATTAAATGTCTGACTAATAAAGAAGTATCAGGAGCTTCAGCTAACGCTCTTCCAAATACAAAATGTGAATAAAGATCAGTTACTATTAATGCCATGGTATAACAACGGTCTCCATATTCCGAACACTCCATTTCAACCATATCGATCTTAATTGTCGAGTAAATATTTTCAAAAAGTTAAATAAAAAATTTTGAGAATAATGAATTCAAAATTTCTGAAATAAGTTTGAAAAGTCTAAATACATCGGTTGTCAGAATAATGCACAAAATGTAATCAGATCCAGGAAAATAATAAAAGTGAGCAACATGATAGCAAGAACAATTTTTTTGGAAATACTCTTGGAAAGAGATAAAATGAGTTTATCAGGATAATTTTAATAAATTTCACTAGATTGTTATTTTCAGTATTCTTACAATATGCGAAGAAATTTGAATTTCAATCAAAAGAAATTAACCAACCTGGACATACTGCATTGGTTTGCTTCCAATGCAACGAGGTTTATTAGGAAACTGCACTCTTGGTGCTCGTAATATAATACCTTTAGCAGCAGCTCTTTGTTTTGTTTTAAAGCTTATTCCTACGTACCTTTCTTCTAAATAGTCTAACATTTCTTTTTGAGTACAATCTGGCATTCTTTCATAGCAGCGTCGCCAGATCTACAATAAAAAGATTCACACTCTGACACATATTAAGGTACAATAACAAACAAACCAAAATTATACCTCATCAACCTCACTGATTCGAGGAACAATCCTTCCAGATTCACGAATTCGAATGCGCCAACCAGGTGGGAGAAATTCATGAGGCTCTGACCAGTATTCACCAACAAGTAAGCTTCCCTTCAATCTCATCTAAAATAAATAAAATGTAGTACGCTATAAATAATCAATCCTTAAAAGCCGTCTTAATGCACAAAATTTACGAGTACTGATCAATAAACTGGAGAAAATAAGCAAAGTAAGATTGGTGAAATTCACTTCACACAATTAAAAAAATGCCCTTTATTAAATTAAATATTGCATTAATTTATATACATCCATGTCCTATACTTGCAGCACACAATTTCCTTATAATAAATCAAACATTTATTTATAACAACATCTACGTAACTTTTTGACGTTATAACAAAATAGCAAAAATATTAACTGTTTAATTTATTTCGAAATTTTTATGAAAACAATTATAAAACCTTGACTGCTTCCCTGAGAACAACGTCTTCAACATCATCAACTCGGAGTTTCTTCGATAAAATTTGAGCCAAAATATCATATTCATTATCCGGAATGGCAGTTGTGAAAAAATTTTGGTAAAATCCTGCAAAAAATTACACTGAAAATATATACTATAATTTTTACAAAACAAATTTATCTATCAATTCAAACTGAAAATATGCTGTTATTTTCTTTAAAATTTGGCGACAGAAAAATAGAACAGACGATTATTAAGATCTAATTGATCATTATGACTTCGAAGAAGGTCTAAAAAATCAACAAATTTCACAGTAATATTGTAACTTTTATATAAGAGCCTGTGTTTCACACAACTCATAAATTAATCCAAAAAAAACCTTTTTTTCCGACTAAATCTAAATCACCACTCGAGTTATCAACTGCAAACTCATGTACATCAACATCATCCAAATCTCCTCCATAATCCGTATTATCCTCTCCTGATCTTATCAAACGATTCAGCGAATCCAATAATGTATTACGTAGCTAAAAATGTTCATATCGACATTATCTTGAATTACTTAAATAGTCGAGGCATCAAATAATAATAATAATGAAAAAATAAGTGATCTAGCTTTCTGTACATAACAATATATTAAATAAAATCAAGAACTTCTAAAGTTTTTTTGCATAAGACGCTCTTTAAGATGATCTGCAACAAAATTAAAGCAATTAATTAAAGCGAGAAATTTAAATGAAAATAATAAAAAATTTAAGAATATATGACTAACATTGATGATTGAAGGGAGGCCAATATAATTTTTTTGCAGCATTTGCAAACAAGCACCGATAGGATGTTGGTGATTTTTAAACCGTGCAACCGAAAATTCTATTACTTGCTCACGCTGTTCACTATTTAACAGAAGTTTCATTGTTGGAAGATGAATAATTGCATAATCAATATGACCCAGAAATTCATCATTGACATCACATGCTACCTATTATTTTTAAAAATGCAAGATTTTACACTGCATCATTTTATTTACTGAAAATAATAAATGGAAAACTATTAATACCATAGGAGGCACAAACCTCAGAAATTATACGATTCCCCAACTCATCTATGCAAGAAAAAACACAGTAAATGACAGAATCACAAAAACCAAAAAGTTGAACTAACCGTGTAATCATCTCCTTGCACCATTGCATTTAAAATTTGTCTATAATCATCAGTTGGCGGAAATACTTCTCCACCAGTCATTAACACAATAAAATCGGCATATATTGAATCAGTAATCTGATCTAGCTGCAAGTGCTTATGATCACAAGCCTTCATCAGCTAGACTCAGTGAAAAATTGAAAAAATCAATAATAAGAAAATCTAGAGTGAAAAATCTATTTACTAATAAACTGAGCTTACATTGACTCTTAACATGGGGTCGCGGACATCCGATGTCGTTTCTGTAATAAAATAGAATATAAGGAGGTAATTACATCGTCATCATCCCTACTTGTCTTTGTCCAAATATCAAATATATCATCAAGAAACACTACACTATGAAAATGAGATCAATTTCAGAAAGCCATTCTAAACTTAGAAGTTCAAGACATACTCGGTTTCTGAATAATTTGATATACACAGTGGGATCCAGAAAAACTGAAAGAGCGAGAATCATTTGGATAATTGACACCATTTCCTTTGTCACTTGTTGCAGAGCATGATTGCTAAAAAATTACAATCCATAACTGAACAAAAACTTGCAATAAACAATACTAAAAAGAGATAAAAGCTATGACTGAACTTCTGACAACTTTTACCAGATATTTTTTACTATTGCAAACACAAACTAAATATTTTATATAAGGATAAATAAAATGAATGCATATTTTATAGTTTTTAAAAAAATAGCTGCAATAAGACAAATAAATTATTTACGGAAGATGTGAGAACATACTTCAGAGATCTGTTGGTCTGCAACTACCGCTGACTCATTTGCACGATCATCATCGAGGATAACGCCAACACCAACATTTGGCTCACAACCTGAATCCAATAATTCCTGTCCTCTTTCAACATTCTCTTCTTCGTCTTCTTCTTCACCCAAAGATATCGAAGCTGGATCAAGCAATGACATTTCTAGAATAAATATAATTATTGCAAAGTTCAATTAAGAATTTATAAATACTGAAAACCTTAAGAAATTAAAATAAAAAATAATGCGCGGAAAGTAATGCTGCCTCAAACATGTTAAGAAATATGTTTGTGAAACTGCATCTTACAAAAGCATATTTAGCCACCCAACTATAACATGCAAATTATAGTCATCTATATAATATTATGCTAATTTATAAAATATCATAAAATCAATACCAAAAGTACCACTAACTCCTGAACCGATTTCTGATCCGTATAAATGTCAAGATCCATAAACTAAGAATTAACGCCTGTTTTGTATATTATTAATAAGATCAATGTCCCACAAAATTTTTTGAGTCAGTTCATTTTTTTGTCCTCAAGGCCATCAAAGTTTTTGTTATCAATTTAAGGTATATAAATATTATTATTATGTTACAAAATGAAGGGCAAAAATTATTCTTTTACACTCAAAAAATGCAAGAAAATTCTTGAAAGGTACAAAAGAGTAAAGTCTAAAAACAAGACAAAAGACCCAGACAATATCATATAGTACCGCGCTCGCGATTTTACAGTTGTACTGTATTGCTTCTACAGTTATGGCAAAGATATCTTACGTTCATCAGAATACTGTGTATTGAAAACATCTCTTAAAGAACTGAAGTTACTAACTTCAATCATGATGACCTCGTTTACCGCAGGTTCAAGCACACTTTGCAATCGTTACCATAAACTCTGTTGTTTCGGGAAAAACTGTAAGTTAATCGTACATTAGTGAAGTCATATTAGTGATAGTTACTGAATTAGATACTATGTTCAATACATTTTAGCAATACTTGATCAAGATTTTACAGACCACGGGCCGCTTTTGATTTCCAATTTTTTCTCAAATCGAAAATAACTACCATTGGAAACCTATGGTAATTCTTGATTTTAAGTATAAAAGAATTATTTTTGGTCTTCATATTAACTCCTGTAACTAATTTGTGATCCTCTAAATATGACAAGATCCATATACTAAATATTAGTGCTTATTTTGTATAGTTATTACCAATTACTTACAGTAAGATTAATGTCCCTTAATATTATGCCAACCATAATTTTAGCAATGATTTTATAGAGTTTTATTACTTTTCAGGCACAAAAATAAGATTCTGTACATTGTAACACCGCATGACCTTTCTATTTTTGCAAAAATTACTGTGTAAATTTGCATGCAATTATCTGAATTTCTTCATTACTTATAATTGTTATACGAAAATAGGTATATTTTATTTATTGTTTGAATATTTACACTACATAGATGTTACATGATTTTCCCTACGAGTTTGTTATTGTTCAGAAAAAGGTAGTAATTGTTTATTGTTAGCAAATTGTTAATTGCGGTTAGTTAATCATAATATCCAAATTTTGTATTTTGATACAGAGAGAAAAGAATTGAAATTGCAGAATCAAAAAATTATTAGTCAAAGAGCGGATTCTTCAGGAGACTGTCATAAATGCGAGCTGTTATACAACGTGTGACTAAAGCTGCTGTGTTCGTTGATGGTCAGTTGGTGAGAAACATTTTGATCATCCATATTTATTATTAATAAATATTGCAAGAATAATTAATATTGTAATATTATTTACTATCTTGTTTTATTCACAGTTCTTGCACTTTTTGTTCATTTTTCAGGAATCATCAATTAACCGAGGAATTTGTGTACTTCTGGCTATAAGCAGAGAGGATACTGCTGATGATGTGCAATATATGATAAGAAAGTTGCTAGGTATCCGAATTTTTCCAAATGTTGACAGTGGTAAAAGATGGGATAAAAGTGTCAAAGATTTAGAACTTGAAATATTATGTGTTAGCCAGGTATTTTTGTCAAACTTAAAATTTTTTATAAATAGATCTATTTTGAGGATTGATATCTTCTCATCAGATAACATATCGTACTGTTGTCAAATCTACGTTCCGTTTCTGAAATTACTGTTAGGTTTAAATGTTACCATGTTCAGGAAAAAGAAAAAATTTTTGCACTTTTTCCTGAATTCAGTCTGATGTTTTAAATAAAGATACGGCGTCTTAGAAAGTTTTTCGATGCTCTTTTTCTTCCAGTTTACGCTATGTAGCATATTAAAAGGCAATAAACTGGACTTTCATCGGTCAATGGATCCTCTAAAGTCACAACAGTTCTATCAAAGTTTTTTGGAACAGCTGAAAAAAGCGTATACACCAGAACGGATAAAGGTTTATTAGTTGATATTTTGAAAAACTTCCGTGTGTTTTTCAATTTTTGTGTATAGTACTGTAAAATTGAGCTTTCTAATTTAATGCCGTTTCCATTTTTCTCGTTATTGAAAATCCGTTTGCTCATTTTAGTTGCAGTGGAAAATGTAATTAAAGGGAAGCTAATTTTTAGGATGGTCGTTTTGGTGCAATGATGAATGTTCAGATTGAAAACGATGGACCAGTTACATTAATTTTGGATAGCAAATCTAGAGACGATTAGTAATGTTTTATTTCCTTGGTTTAAATTAACAATACAGCATATGCATTAATTTCGTTAGAACGAAAAAGTTTGAATTTTTTGTACAGGAATGTTCGGGAACTGATTTAAACATTTTTTGGTCTTTCTAATTTAAAAAGTATTAGATCGCTTTCACCGATATTTTAAGAAATTGAATTTTATTTAGCTTGTTAAGTACCATTCGTTGTGAAACTTCTTTGGTGTTTATGTTATCAAACATTTGACTGATGTTTTCATGTTTGTTTATACCGTTATTTGTTAGTTGAGTGTTACGTTGTTTATACGTACTTCAATTGACATATCTGAATATAAGTCAAAAATACTTCTTGAAGTCCTGAAACTGATAAAATTCAGATAGTGACAAAAAAAACTATCTTTTTACCCGATTAACGATTATTACAAAAACAAAATAAAAATAATTATATTCAATGAGTGTTTGAACATAAGTAATGACATAAATATTAATAGGAATTAGTAACGGGATGCTTATTGGAGTGGTACCAACAAAATTTTTACTTTCCTTTGAAAATATTTATAAAGTACATAGCATAATTATAATATTAGTAATAAACAATGAAATTTATTTAACAAAATAATAAAACAAGCGTGAAATGGAGCCGGATGAAACTATCAAGAACAAATTTTGTTCCAAAATCAGAAAACAGAACCCAGCATTTTGAATTAAATTTGAATAAGAAGAGATAATTTGCACTATGTGGCATTTCATTTCGAGATCAACAGCACTTTCAAAAAATAAATTATGAAAATGCGGAAAAAAAATTACAGAAATGAACATATTTTCAACACTGTAAACAAAATGTGCGCAGAAATATCAAAATGAAAGCAATACTTCTTTGCAACATTTTTGTTTCATTATTAGTGTAAAGACGATACATTGAATATAAAAGGATATATTTCCGTATTTTTAATGATTCCTGAGTTGTTGGCCACTCACTGTCGGATGCTCAGTGTTAGTAAGTATTATATTTAATAATTAATTTTACTGCTTTTATTCTGGTTAAGTTCTGATAAACATTATTTTTAAATTCTGTAAGTTCAAATTTTGATAATAATTTACTGTCGGATGGTGTATGATGGTAACAGCCATAGTTGTTGCTTTTTTTAATTTTCTAGTTTACATTTGTGAAGTAAAACTTTTTTGATTATTTTATTGCTTTGGTTGATAATTAATTAGTTTAGATTAACGTGTTGAGATGCTGAAACCGGTGGAGCACCATTTTGACCGGTTGATGAGGCGATATTTGTAGCTGAAGGTGAAGAATTTTGCTGAGACGTAGAATTCTGATGTGATCCAGTCTAAAAAATCAATTTGGTAAGGATTCTTCTGTATTTTACGTTTACGAAATGGAACGCCATTAATGGTTTTAAAAGTAAACAAATCGTAATATTTTATAAATTCAAAATTCCTGGAAGACAACAGAGCATTCATCCTCACTAAATCAAAATTTTGATGATAAGCTAGATTTTTTCCAGCCTGGATGATATCGACTTACTTTTCCGCGTGTCTCACGTCATGTTACTTTACCAGAAAGTTAGAAATTTTAGGCTGTTGAGGAGTTAGCAATATCCCACACCTGAGTGTTGCTGTTTTGTACCAAAGCAGAAGCAGTAGAATTGTTTGCTTCACGTTCCTTCTTAAATTGTTCAAAGTCATCACCAAGGATTGTTGCAATTTCACCTTGCATAAACGCCCATGGCATGTGGGATCCTGCTAATGGGCATTTCTCACCCGATGGACAGTACACTTCCTGAAACTGTTTACTTTATGTACTTGGTGAGCAAATTTGACTTAGTAAAATGACTTAGATCAGCGAAATTCATTATGTTTACCGAATAATTTTGAAAATACAATAACTTTAATAATTTAATGGTCATAACTCGCTGAAAAGTAGCAAATAACTGTAGTCTAAAGCATTATGAAATGGTTAAAATTGTGTATGATTATAGTGCATTTCTTGAAATCAATCCGAAGTCTGATCAATTATAAAAATTATATTAATTTTGATGGGAAATATATCTTTTAATTTTATTACTGTGCAGTCGGCTATATGATTATGATAAAAGTAATAAGGTTTTTGAAATGCATTAATTGGAAGAAAGCAATGATTGAATAGGAATTAATGACGAGTAAATCAGTGATAAAGATGTTTAAAAATGAAACCTGAGCATTTCCTTGCTTTTTGATACTTTCTCGAGAACATGGAAAGCAGAATTTGTGTCCTAGCACTGAAGGGCATTGCACGAAATGAGTATCTTCAAGACGTTCGTGACATAATGTACACTTCACTTCTCGATCGCTACTTAAATAAAATATGATATCAAATTCCAATCATGGTATAGATGCGAGTATTTAACATGTTAGCTTTAAATGTTATCATTGACTTATCATGATTGGCATCTAGTTAATGATAAATATAAATTTGAGAGTGATTCAGTGATTTGAGTAGAATATTATGCCTTGGTTTTTCAAGCATGTAGTAAGATGGCTTTCAAGCAGAAAAAATAATCTTAGGTTAGCATCTTATTTATTAAATAGTATTGACTACTTAGATATTTTTAGGCCGTTAATTTAGATAGAAACTTGACTTGTGATAAAGTTATGTATTTGAATTACTTAAAAATTTTCGAAATCACCAGATTATTTGAAAATTTATTGCGAATTCGTATCGAGAATTTTAGTGGAAGGTCAGCAAATCTGATGAATTGTTGAAGTTCTTTTTTGTTTTAGGGCAAATTTTTTTGTATGTAGTGACCTATGATGATTTCTTTGATCTTCAGGAAACATCATTATTGATGTTGATAGAATAAAAATAATGATAATAATAATAGTGGTAGTGATTTAGTTACTTTTGTGAATTGCTAAAGTTTCTTCTACTATTGGCATTATTATTTGGATGGTCTGGACTGTGTGTTGACGTTGGTGAAGCTGAAGTTGTTTGCGCATCTCCTATAAATACAGTAATAATATTATTAAAATAATTAGTTTTAAAATAGTGATACTTTAACTCATAACTTGCATGTGAATAAGTTTCCTACCCACAATTGTGAACTTAATTTTAGACTATGATTGTAATTTGCGTAAAAAATTAGTAATTAGGCTAGTTAATTATAATTTTATCGTCTTTTAATAAACTTATTTGTTATGAACATAATTTCATAGATGGAATTTACTGTAACGTAACTCAGATGTGCTTAATGCAAATTTATTTTGGAAGTTTGAGTTGTAAGCTTTAAAAAATTTTAAATATTTTGATACTAACTTCAAAAAATTTTTAAATTTGAAATAAAAAAATGTTATTGGTATGTGATTGATCAAATCAGTGGTGTAATGTGTTAAAATTTACAATATATATGAAGAAGTAAGTCAAATGTGATTTGTTAATTTCTGTTTATAAGTAATGAATTAATTTCATCTGTTTATTTATGTGGTTTAGTATTTATGTGAGTATGTTGTTTGCATTTATTAAAATAGAGCAGACAAAGTTGCAAGGACTGAATTAAATTGGAATAAGATGACATGATGAAGAATGATGGCAAAGATGACATTACGCAATTAACTGCGTGAGAAAAGTTCATCGTCCCACTTGCTTCACGTCATTTGTATACGTGAGAGTAGAAGATTAACTTTTCCATCGTTGCACAGTTATTTGATGTAATTTGGGAAATGGAGCGGTATGAAGACAAAAGAACCAGTTTGCAAGCAGAAGATTTCAAGATTCTCAGTATCTCAAATTCAACACATTTTTGCAAGATTTAGCAGAAGAAAAAGGCAAATCAAGTTATGTAATTGTTATTTTTTAACTAGTGTTAAAGGTCAACTAAGGTTCAAAGTTGATAGTGGAGAAACAGTGTTTGCAGCATTAACTTATAATATCCTACATTAAGTATTCATGCTAATGTCTAGAATGTTTCGTATAGGTAAAAATAATTAATTTTAAAAGTCCATAAGGTTTCCTTAATTTAATGATATTTAAATTGTTTTAGAATTGTAACCAATATTGAAAGTAATTTAATAAGTTTTGAATTTTACTTAATACAGTAGTGATTTTAAAGATTTTGTTATTCAATTGATGGTTTCAAGATTTTACAACAATTTTTAACAAAATATTGAAATACGAATTTGAGCATGAAATTCTACTTCATTTTTCATACTGTATGTTTTATTTTGCGACACAAAAATCAAATATTGAAATTTTAGCCTGTTTGGGTACAAAAATGAATAAATAATAGGTAAGGGAAGCACTGAAACTTTTGTAGCTCGGTGCCAAACAAACAATGAAGTAAAAAATATAGATTTTTCTGCTGTAACAACCAAAGGTTGGTACCGGTAGCTACTGTTGTGATATGTGCAAATATTATTCTCGCCTAAATAATTTACATAGAAAATAAAACTCAGTATATGTAATAACTGTAATTATATATATATATACTTTGCCTTCTCTATATATAAATATACTCATTTGTTTAATACTGTAATTTTGATAGTTATACTAAAGTTTAAAAGAATCTTATTCTGTGCATTAAAAACTAAAAAAAAAGTAAATGAATGATACAGAATTCTCACTAAATGAAAGATAAAATAAAATTATAATTATTTTTTTTACAAAATTTAAAAATAAAGTTTGCTTTATTAAATAATTAGGAAGAAATCTTTTATGCATAATAATTTTAATATTTATTATTTTTGTGATCCCTTTGTTCACTACATTTCGCGCACTTTGCCTTCTTCCTTTCGGATAATTTTCTTCTCTCTTTTTCTCTGCACAAGTAAGAAAATCAGAAAGACTGAGACATGTAGAGAAAGAGGGCAAAGAGCAAAATTGTCTATTAGGCGGGTGACCTCTTTACTCTCACTCGGGAATGTTTTGCATGTTCCGCGGTAAATATTACAACTCACCAGACTGTACCATCAAGTCACATGGCACCAAAACCAGTTCCTTGCACGTTCGTTACAAAATGTAATACTCTTTTTGTATTTCTATCTCTCTCTTTCTCTGCAACTTTTCCTGCTCTAGTAAATATTATTATTATTATTATTATTATAAATTATTTTATTAAAAATATTAATATCACTATTGTAATATAAATATTGTCTTTTTTACAGTTATAAAAGTGATAAACTATTCAGCAAATGATTCCTTATTAAAGTTTACGATGAAGGTGATAAATGTTCTAAATAGTAATTGATAATAGATGTAATAAAAATGATACCAGTGAATACCGCAGCATTTAAATTGCTACATATATGCAGTAGTCAGGAACAGATTTTTGTGATACCTTTTAAATGTTAAGATGATAAAATTTTATCATGTATAGGAGTCATATTAGATTACTAAGAATGATAATAATAATAGTTCTATATATATTTTTGCTAGTGATAATGATTGTTGTGATAAGTAATGGTTTATAGATAGAAAAAAGTGATACAGTTGTGAGCTTTTGCATAACGATGGTACCATTATTAATTCGAAGTATGATAGAAAGTATGTGCAAAGTGTGGAATGTAAAAACTTTGCACATATTCCTTCTTGGCTACTGAACATGCTTTTAGTCACTAAATTTCGGATCTGGTAATAAATTGAAAAGCTAGATTAGTTCAAATTTTGTGCATTCAATTATTCAAAGAATTTCCCTGTTTGCCAGAATATCCGAAAAGAACCTAATAAAACCGGTTACCGTTTCATACATCGGGTCAATTCCTCTGCACCATTTTAACAGTAAAATTGTGTTGGGGTTAATGAACCTGTACTATTATTATTATTATTATTATTATTATCACTATTATCATCGGAAGTATCATTCATTTACGACAGGCAAAAACCCCTCCAGGAGGTGCATGGTACCAACGGCTACAAAATACCAATACCGGTGCAAGTAAATCTCGTTTTGTTGATATAATTTTGATTGATCATATACATCGTAACTGCAATGATTGGTTAACAGGAGGTCATCGGATCAGATTCAAATTATCCGCGCGGTAAAGAATGTCATTGTGCGCGAAAGAAGACAAAAGATATGCGAGCGAGTAAGACAATTCAATCCTACACATCCCATTTATCCATTCTCTCAATTTTAATCGGCGTAAATTTGTTCTTACTACAAATTATGCAATACTTCAAATACCAAGCTATCATCAGCCCTCATTTTGTGCAATAGTTAATACGAAATGGTAGTAACGATTGCATAAAATCGGTTTCTTCTGCATAAATGAACACATTGTGCAACTTTTGACAAATAAATAGTTCAGGAGTGCGTAAAACAAAAACGCGTGAAACAAATAATAATGAGACAAATAATTAACGTAACTTACCACGTTGAACTTTTCCGTAAAAATCAGGTTTTATGTCATCGGATGAATCATGATCACGTTTTCTGGATGCTGCAACAGCAGCAGCAAGTGTAGCATTTGGTGGTAACAAACTTGCAACACTATTTGATACCAAATTTGGAAATACACCTGAAATATATTTAATCAGTTATTTTTTAAGATTAATGATTACTATTATTAAACAAATCAAGATGATAACTGATCATTTAATTTATTCAAAGTAAAGGAAAATGAAGTTTTGCAAAAAGTAAATTTGGTAGTTTAAGGTGGCTATTTCTATTATCATTTACAATTCTGAGGATGAAAAAGTTACAAATTACAAAAATCAGTACTAACTCATTGGAAGACCATGTTGCATTAAAGAATTTTGGAGATGAATTGGTCGCTGTAACTGCTGCAAGGCATGTAAATCTTCCGCGGTGAATTGTCCTGGTTGCCTACCAGTTAACGAAATGAATCGCTGCTGCTGTACTAAAGCCTGGAATGTTTAATTCAAATTTAATTTTTTATTACACAAAATTTACGAAAGTGATGATTATCTTATACTTGCGTAATTTTAAATCATAAATTATTATTTACAGCCATAAGTTATCTTTTATATTTTTCAAATTACCATAAATTATTTACTATTAAACAAATTACTTTCAATTAAGATTGTCTTTTTTAGATTTATTGTAAACTAATTTTTCTTATCTTTAAACTTTTCTCTTATTTAATCCAAAATTATAAAAGTAATAGATAGGCTTGGAATTTAATTTGATCGCAAAAGCAAACAAAAGAGATATTTTTCTGCGTAAGACTTTAAACTTTGACTTGCGATTCATGATCTGCGAAACAATGCATGCCATCAAGGTAATCAGTACAGACCTCGGTTAGTTGATTTAGAGGTATTTGTGGTATCTGGGCTTGTGCCGCTGCTGCAACAGCTGCTGCGGCAACCGCTTGTTGTTGCTGTTGCTGCTGCTGATGTTGGGCTGCCGGTGTTTGGGGTAAGTTAGCGGGATTAACACCGCGGTTAACAGCAGGTGAAAAGCGACCAGCACCTGCTTGTAATAAGCATTCTTTCTGAAGAAAAAGTTAATTAGATAATAGGTGATGCAAGAATTTCTCATGCCGTCCCAATAATTAGCTTATTTTTTAGCAAGAAAAATTTCACGATAAATTCAAACGAAATTTTTGAATGCGTTAAAAAATATCACGAAAATTTTTTAAAATTAAAACTAAGCTGTATTTTAAGCATTTATGTTAAAAAAAAAAGCGACCAGCTCCTGCTAACATTTACCTGAGATAAATTTCTGCTTGCAAGAGTCGTGGAAGTTTCACCAACTGGAAATCCATGTACACGTTTTAGTTGACGTGCGTGTTCAATCACATTTTCTATTCTGAAATAATCATTTAATTATCGTGAAAGATAAAATTTGCAAAATTCTTCAAAAAAATTTAGTCTTACGCAAATTTTAAAAGTAAATATAAACTTTTGATTGCAAATTTTGTCACTAAAAAAATTGCCTTTAATTTTTTAATTAAAATGAACAAAAAGTTTTGCACCATAATTTTTTTTAAAAAAAAAAAAAACTTTATTTGAACAAAATTTAAAAAATTTAAACAATAAATGTTTCGACTTAAAAATTATTACTGATAATTTGGTGAAAAATGTGTTTTGTAGGATTATCTATCACCAAAAAGAGATTACTTTTAATTTAATAAATTTTATTTTTTATTTTTTCTAAAAGGTATTGATAATGAAAGTGAACAAATTTAAGTTTTTGATCTTATCAGTGATAAAATAGTACAAAGTATATTTTATAAATAAAATATGTATACCGTGGTTGTCAACTTTTTTTAAAATAATTTTTCAGATGTAATGTGTGCATAAATTTGTTTTTTTTTTTTAATAAAAATTGATAACAAAAAATGGAATATCATATTAAGGTAGACTTTTAAAATTTCAGTATTTTTTGCTGAATTATTACCAAGTTAGGAAGTATAAGTAAAGTAAAAAACTAGAAATAACAAACCGATCAGCTCCTTCATAGTTGACACAACCACGGCAAACCGGTTCTAAATAATCATTGCACATGGCCCAAGGCCATCGTGGTAAATCACACAAAAAGCAATGTTGTCTACTAGCCATTTTGGTAGCTACCGGTCCAGTGTTACCTATTCCAGTATTTCCAGTACCATTTCCAGAAATGGTACCATTTGGTACAGTATTATTTCCATTATGAGCTGCTGCTGCGGCTGCAGCAGCTGCGGCAGCCGCTGCGGCACCATTCATTGTTGCAAGCATACCGTTTGGATTCATTCAAATACGAATAAAATGGTATGAAAAATAAATAGGCGGAAATTTCCAGATAAATAATACAGCAATCAGTTTAGATTAAATTATTTTGGGATCTGAAATTATTTTAAACATGAATAATTTTTAAAAAACTTAATTAAAACGTGAAAATTTAAAGTTTTGATTTACAAATCATTACGTGATATTATTGCTCGAACGCATATTTATGATAAGTCTAATATTAAGCTGTATAAACGTTACAAACGATTTTAGTTTAATTAATTCCATTTAAAGTATTAAGTGAATTTGAAATCTGAATCAACTTAATAATTTTGCAAAATATTAAAAATTCAAAATTTGCAAAAAATGGCATTTTATATTTTCAAACTTTACGATCTATTTTAGTACAAACGTAATAATTATTATATTTAGATTTAATTATTCTAAAATTTAATTTAAAAACAAAATTCAATTACTTATAAACTGAATTTACTTACTCAAAAATTTGAAATGCTCATATAAAAAACTCATCTAGTCAAGCTTAAATTAAATTATATAATAAAATAAATAAAATCTTATTGTTTATTTAATGATCCGTTTGATTTTCCCATCATTTCTCGCATTTTCAAATATATAATTAATAATCTTTGCTCTGCCATAATTAGCATAGAATTATAAAAGGATTTTAAATGATATTTTGTAAAACGATTTAATTAAAATTAATAGAATAAACTAAAACTGACAAACTTAAATTTAAAAAAATCTGTTCTGTATTTTAACTAAAATAATTTCAATCATAAGAAAAACAATCACTTTTGATTATTTTTTATACTTTATTAAATTTAATAAAATTTGTTCATAAAATATAAAACTAATATTTTTCGGTATTATTTAGTTCAATTTTTTATAGTTCAGTGCTAATTATAGTGAGGGCAAATATAATTAATTTAAATTTTTGTAATGCTAATTTATGTTTTTTTAAATTTCTTATTTATGTTTCACTTAATCAATAAGTTTTGTGGATATTAATTATTTATTCAAAAAAAAA